CTGGATTGGGCTGGGATGTTTTCTCAATATACAATTACTCTTTGATAAAAAGTTCTCTCTCTCTCTCTGTATCGCGCGCGCGTGCGTGCGTGTGTGTGTGTGTGTGTGTGTGTGTGTGTCTCTCTCCTGGATTTGTTTTTCTAGTCAAACCAGACTAACACAACCAATAAAACTGCTTGTTTTCTTTAAAAAAAGATAATAGCATTTCCTACCAACTTTTTAAAGCCCCCTCGTATATATTTAATGATTTCATACCAATACTTCCACTTGCAGTATAACACCACAGGCTCTGTGTTTTCTTACCTAATTGTTAAAGATAATCTCATACTGGTTCTGGATTAGGATTCAAACGCAGAAATTTAGTGTTTAGTGAAAGTATGTAGTTTCACATTGACTTAAAAATTGCATTTTTGGAAACGTTTTTGTGTTTTCTGTCTTTTTTTAAACTTGATTCCAGATTGTAAATGATTCTTCTTTAACTGGCACATTCAAAATGATCGAGTTGGACCTAAGGACTGGAAGGTACTGCAGCTCTGGAGTTGCTACCTAGTGCTGGGATGGCAGTGCCCTCCTTCCACGACTGGCAGATATTTCTGATGACAGTTGACCTGTTCCTGATTATTATTAAAACTTTTAAAATTTATGTTTTTATCATTTTATTGGGAACTCTTACAGATAGAACATTTCATAATTCAATCACATCAAACAGCATTGTACGATTGCTACCACAATCAGTTTCAAAACATTTTCTTTCATCTTGAACTCCTTGACATCAGCTTCTCTTTGCGCCTGATTCTTAATGCCTAGTTACTCTCAGTCGGATGAGTGCCCTGTGAATTAATTTCACCTGTATGGTAAAACATTTGTGTCATGCAGAGGTTGATTTTAGTCTCTTCTCTTTTACTCCCCAAGCTTCAGCTCTTTTAGAGATGGTACAATGAAGAAAGCTCATTCTGTAAGGTTACAGTCTAGCAAGAAGCCTTCCGTCTTCCCTGGGGTCCGGAGTCGGTTACCGAGTGCCCTTCATCCAGTGCAACACCATGCCTCATACCGGAGAGGCCGGTTGAAAGAATTACGCGTCAGGTGAGCAGACCTATGATCCCCCACCTGTAGTGACTTTTCCATTGTTTTTGTTCTTTGGTTAACGTGAGCAGATACTTCTTGATGTTTATGGAGTGCTGAGCTGTGAAGGATGTGTAAGACCCTGTAGACATAACTATCATTGAGGGGTTTTGTTCATCGTTTTTATTTGTGCCCCATAATGTATAAGCTATAAAGCGTCTCTCCGAAAAAGCTAAACATGTTGTAAGCAAATGATATCTTTTAACGGTTGATTAGGTATATGAAAGATATTTGTGGTGCTTAGTTTTGGCAGACAAGATGAATTAGATGTTTCTCACCCACAACCTTGATAATGCTTACAAGCAGACAGGGTTGACAGGCTATTTTACAAGTGGCAATAAAGGGTAAACAGTGCTATGAGAGAAGAATGTGGTGTCCCAGGCACCTTGGACAAGAGCAGCCAAGCTAGGGTAGCTTGTGGTAACTTCCTAGAGAAAGCAGTGTAAGCAGAATCCTGAAGGACATGTAACAGTAAAGGCAGGAGAAAACGTGTTTTAGGCTGAGCCTAGAATTGAATTGGAGACAAAAGCAACTTTTTGTGTGTGAGAGCACTGTTCCCATTCTCAGAGGCTCACAATGTTGTGGGAATGACAGATACTCAGTTACCGTGATCAGCTTGTGGTCCTGTTACACAGGGGTATGCACAGAAAGAAAAACTGCTTACTCTGTTTAGTTCAGCAAAGGTTCAAGGAGGCTTCATATGGGAGCAAGCATTGAAGATGAGTGTTTTATTTTACCTATGGCCATTTGTCAGATACTTCAGGCAGACAGACTACTATGAATTATCACATACTTCCTTTCCCTGACTCAAATCTATGTCTTTCCAGAGACAAAAGGCTTTATATTGGGGCTTTTTCCCCCCTCTTTAGTAATCTGCTTGATTTCAACTTTATAAATCTGTCCCATTCTGTACTTGTTTGATGCAAGATTAGCTATGTCATCTTATGACTCATAGTAGATTTCCTCCCTTTGAGACCATGAAGATTCCTTCTTTCCAGAAGACTAATGACATAAACTGAATGGAAGAAACAAAAATTACATACCTTCTCTTTCTCTTTCTTTCAGATGCATGACCAGAAAGTTCTTGTTTTTGTGGATTCGAAAGACTTTTGGAAGAATCTCTCCCTCTAAAGCCAGGTAGTATTAGCTCGGAATACCAAATTTTGAATTTGTTCATCCCAGGTGTTTGTTTTTTATGGACGTACATTTATTATGTTACATGTTACATGGACGTATGTCAAATGGACGTATCTTTATTATGCTACATGTTACATTCTTCCCCAATCCCTCCTCACCTCCCAGCAGGCAGGTGTGGTACCTAATAGATATAATTAAAACCAAACTCATTACTGAGGCAAGGATTTCATATTGCTTGGACCCACAATCAATGCTCATGGAAGCAGCAGTCAAGAGATCAAAAGACAGGCAGCAGTCAAAAGATCAAAAGACAAGATCTGCTGTACAAGACATCCTTATAGTAGTGCAGAGCCAAGGATGTTACTTTGAGGACAAAGGTGCGCCTGACCCAAGTCATGGTATTTTTAATTGCTTCATATCCATGTGAAAAACTTTAACCTTTTCTCCATTTATTATGATTACCTATTGGTCCAGTTGTTAGGAGTTTGGTCTTCTTTACATTGAGTTGTCATCCAAACTGAAGGCTGCAATCCTCGATCTTCATCAGCCAGGGCTCAGTGCCCTCACTTTCAACAAGCAAGGTTGTATCTCCTGCATATTGCAGGTTGTTATTAAACCTTCCTCCAATCCTGATGCCACATTCTTCATCTAATCCAGTTTCTTTGACGATTTGCTCAGCATACAAATTGAGTAAATACGGTAAGAAGATACAACCCTGTCACACTCTTTTCCTGATTCTAAACCATTCAGTATGCCTTGTTTTGTTCATACAACTGCCTCTTGGCAGGTTCTGAATGTGCACACTGTAGTGTTCTAGAATTTCCATTCTTCTCAAGGCCATCCCGAGTTTGTTACGATCCACACAGTCGAATGCCTTGGCATAGTCAATGACAATACAAGAAAACACCATTCTGGTATTCTCTGCTTTGAGCGGAGACCTATCTGATATCGGTAATGATGTACCGTGCACCCTGCCTAAGGTGACCAGATTTTAACATTGGTGAAGTGGGACACCATTGATAAAACTCATATCCTGGCGAAATTGTCACATGGCAGCCGAAAACCGTATACCCTAGCTTTTGCATTCTTTCCAAAAATCTGGACTCTTTAAAAACGCTGCGGGATGTGAGAAAAATTGTTAAAAATCGGGACGTCTGGTCACCTTAACCATGCCCTCTTCGGAATCAGGCCTGAACCTCTGGCAGCTCTCTGTCCATACTGCAACCATTGTTGGACGATCTTCGGGAAAATTCTACTAGCATGTGCTATCAGTGATACTGTTCTATACTTTGAGTTTTCTCTTGGTCATCTTTCTTTGGAATGGGTACAGATAGGAATCTCTTCTAAGTCAGTTGGCCAAGCAGTTGTCTTCCAAGTTTCCTGGCATAGACCAGTGAGTGCTTCAAGTGCTTCAGCCGCTTGTTGAAACATTTCAATTGGTATTCCAGCAATTCCTGGAGCTAATTTTTGGCTAGTGCTTTCTTTCAGTGTAGCTTGAATCTGTTCCTCAATAGCAGTTTTTGCTCATATGCTACCTCTTGAAATGGTGGAGTGTCTACTAGTTCTTTTTGATACAGTGGCTCTGTGTTTTTTCTATCTTCTTTTGATGCCTCTTGAATCATTCCACATTTTGCCCAGAGAATCTTCCAAGACCGCAACTTGAGGCTTGACTATTTTCTCGATTTATTTCCATTTAAGATATGCTGAGTATCTTCCTTTTAGCTTTCTAATTTTAGGTCTTTGCACATTTCATTATATTTGACTTTGTCTTCTCAAGCTGCCTTTTGAAGTTTTCTATTCAGCTGTTTGATTGCATCCTTTCTTCCCTGTGCCTTAGCTGTTTTATAATTAAAAGCAGCTTCAGAGTGTCTTCTGACATCCACATGGATTTTTTTCTTCATTTTCCGTCTCTTTACTGTCCTTTGCTTTCTTCACGGATGGTGTTCTTAACGTCCTTCCACAGCTCATCAGGTCTCCTGTCATAGTGTTCATTGTGTCAAACCTGTTTTTGAGATCTTCTCAGAATTCATATGGAATAGACTCATGATCGTATTTTGGCTCTTTAATTTTCTTCAGCTTAACCCCGAACTTACCTATGAGCAATTGTTGGTTTGTTCCACAGTCATGCCTGGCCTGCTTATAGCTGTTTCTTCTCACAGATGTAGTCAATATGCTGTCTGTGTATTCAGTCTCGAGAAGTCCACATGTATAATTGCCTTTTGTGCTGTGGAAAAAAGAAATTTGCTATGAACATGTCATTGGTCTTGCGGAAAATTCTACCATGCGATCTCTGGCTTCCTATTTATCACCAAAGCCGTGTTTTCCAACTACTGTTCCTTCCTTTTTGATTCCAACATTTGTATTCTAATTGCCAATCATTGCATCTTGATTGTATGTTACAGCAATTTCAGATGGAAGCTGTTGGTAGAATTCTTTTTTTAATGCATGTTTTACTTTATTTTGAAAATGTTTAGCAAAGTCATGGTTCTTTCTTTTTTTTGACAGTTTTATTGGCACTTAATCCATTCATCATACAATTCAATTGGTCAATCATATCAAGAAGAGTTGTACAATCATTACCACCCTCCTTATCTCCCACCCCGCACTCCTACCTTCCCTCCCCTATAAACCGTTGAATCAGTTCTTACCTCTATGCATCTTCTATTCCTTCTGTGCTTTACAAACTGGAAAACCCAACAGAAACAAAGTGAAGTGGTAAGGATAAAGTAGTAATAATACAAATAGTGAGTAAGAAAGAAGAAACCACCATGAAGATTTAAAAGGCCAGGAAAGATATTTTTGTCATGGAACTAGCAAGAAATACTTGTACCTAGAAGAATTTCAGGTTGGGTCAAGAGGGAGATTGACTGACCATATATCAATTTTGATCCAGTATAATCCCTGTTACAATGATCGCTATCTGATAGTAAAGTTGTTCGAGACTTTTGCCTGTGGCTGGTGGGGATCTGCTAGTGGCTTAATCTGACTGGATAACTCCGCATATGGGTTGGGAGCACTGGTAGAATTCTTCACCTTCATCACTAGCTTTGGGAGTTGGTGCATAAATTTGAATAATAGTTTTAGGGGTTGGATGTCCTTGTATGTAGATGGACATTATCCTATCCCAAACAGCATTGTACTTCAAGATAGAAATGTCCTTGTTTACCATGAATGCAAAACCATTTCTCTTGATTGTTTCATTCTAGGCAAAATTTTCTGATTTAGTGTGACCAAAATTAGTCCATATCAGCTCACCAAGGCCTGGAATGTCGATTTTTATGAGTTCCATTTCATTTTTGACAACTTCCAATTTTCCTAGATTCATACTTTGCCGTTCCTAGTTCTATTATTAATGGATGTCAGCAGCTGTTTTTTCTTATTTTGATTTGTGCCCATCAGCAAATGAAGGTCTCCAAGGCTGTACGCAGTCCATGTCATAGTGGACTCTACTTTGAGAAGGCGGCTTTCTCAGTCATATTGTAAGTGCCTTCTAACCTGAGGGCCTCATCTTCTGCCTCTTTCCCTAAGGCTTTCACTACTGACCATGCTGCGATTCTGTCCAGAAAGTATTCAGTGGCTAATTCCTCAGAAGTGGGCCGCCTATTCCCCCTTTGTCATCTGTTGTATTAGAGAACCCTGTTCACTTTGGATGACCCTGCTGGCATTTGAAAGACCAGTGCCATAGATTCTAGCATCACAGCAACATACAGTCCACCACAGTACCACCAACTGACAGACATTTCTCTAACCCCTACTAAATAAAATTCCACTCTCTGTCTAGGTGTTTGCCTATTCTAGTTATTTCATGTACCATAAATCCCCTAAAAAATGTAGGAGCCATGCCTGACCTTCTCTACACAGTGGAGAGAAGAATCAGTGTCGTCATATAGTATCAGCTGCCTGTGGCTGATTTCTGTGAGGTGGGGTCAGACCTGCCTCCGGCCTTCCTTATTAATGCTGACACTAACCATTCTTCACACAACTCTCGTTATTAAAATTTTGCTTTAAAAAAAAAAAAAGTAAATAAAAATTTGCTTTTTAATTTTTTTAATATATCATTTTATTGGGAACTCTTATAGCTCTTATAACAATCCATACATCAGTTGTATTAAGCACATTTGTACATATGTTGTCATCATTTCTTTTTTTTTAAATAAAGCATTTTATTAGCGGCACTTATAGTTCTTATAACAAACCACACATCAGTTGTATCAAACTCATTTGTACATATGTTGCCATCATCATTTTCAAAACATTTTCTTTCTGTTTGAACCCTTGGTATCAGCTCTTCTTTTTTCCCTCCTCTCCCTCGTGACCCCTTGATAAACTATAAATTGTTATTTTCATATGTTGCACCTTTCACCCAAACTTCTGTTGTTCGTCCCGGGTGGGGTGGTGGTGGTGGTTATATGTCAATCACTGTGATTGGTTCCCTCTTCCCTTCCCTTCCCCCAACACCTTCCTCCTACCCTCATAGTATCACTATTGACATTACTGTGCCTGAGGGGTTTATCTGTCCTGGATTCTGTGTGTTGAGAGCTCTTCTCTGTATCAGTGTATATGCTCTGGTCTAGCCAGATTTGTCAGGGAGAACTAGGGTCATGATAGTGGGGAGCACAAAGCATTAAAGAACTAGAGGAATGTAGTGTGTTTCATCGGTGCTATACTGCACCCTGGCTGACTCATCCTTTCCTTTTGACCCTTCTGTGAGGGGATATCCAGTTGTCTACAGATAGGCTTTAGGTCTCCACTCTGGCTTCCCCTCTTTTGCATCAATAAAATTGTTTGTTTTGGGTCTTCTGTTGCCTGATACCTGATCCTTTTGACACTTCATGATCACACGGGCTGGTATACTGCTTCCATGTGGACTTTGTTGCTTCCCTGCTAGATGGCTGCTTGTTTAACTTCAAGCCTTTAAGACCCCAGATGCTCTATCTTTTAGTAGCCGGACACCATCAGCCTTCCTCACCATATTTACTTATGCACCTATTTTGTCTTCAGCGATCCTG